TCCCAAACGTCTTCCATTTATGGATTATGGAGGCCACTGTGCTCTTGGGAACCTTAAGTGCAGCAGAAATTTTTTTGTAACCTTGGCCAGTTCTGTGCCTTGCCACAATTCTGTCTCTGAGCTCTTCAGGCAGTTCCTTTGACCTCATGATTCTCATTTGCTCTGACATGCACTGTGAGCTGTAAGGTCTTATATAGACAGGTGTGTGGCTTTCCTAATCAAGTCCAATCAGTATAATCAAACACAGCTGGACTCAAATGAAGGTGTAGAACCATCTCAAGGATGATCAGTAGAAATGGACAGCACCGGAGTTAAATATATGAGTGTCACAGCAAAGGGTCTGAATACTTAGGACCATGTGATATTTCAGTTTTTCTTTTTTAATAAATCTGCAAAAATGTCAACAATTCTGTGTTTTTCTGTCAATATGGGGTGATGTGTGTACATTAATGAGGGAAAAAAAAAAACTTAAATGATTTTAGCAAATGGCTGCAATATAACAAAGAGTGAAAAATTTAAGGGGGTCTGAATACTTTCCGTACCCACTGTATATATATATATATATATATATATAATTGGAGGAAAGGTTAAGGAATTACAGCTCCTTAATATGTACCGCCCCCTTTTTGCAATTATTTATTTATCTGAAAAATTTAACGCAGCAATTTGTTGTTTAGATGGATTTATGGCATGATCAAAGAGAGAAATACAGAGGAATTGTTAAAACTCTGGTCATCTTGGTGTCAAATATGTGATGGGTTCTGATATGCAGTGTTATTCTGAGAAGTCAGCTACGTGACAAACACAAATCATGGTCTTGGTTGAGATAACGTGTGACACTGCAGCAGTGAGTTAGATGTTCTCGCGTGTGAAATGCAGAATTCCACTGCTGTGCAAAAACTGACAATGGAAAAGATTGTTACAGAATTATAACGTCACCATAAGAGATCTGAATATCAAATAAGGTTCTTATCAGGAAACACTGTCATGTTGGTTCTTTCATAACAAGGAGTTATGCAGGTTATCCTCTCAACTTAATTTGTGAAATATTCACAATTTACACATCATGGCTTAATGACGTGTAAACAGAAAAACATTGTTGCTGATTTAAATATATAAATATGGAAGCATTGTGAGGATGCATCCTGAAATATGGAAACAATTGTTTAACTGTGATGAAAATGGTTGTAAAAATAAGCTTCATTTTCTTTATTCAAAATATTTATAAATATATAATATAAAAATAATATTCTTTTCACAAATGTGACCTTGTTTTCGTGATGTTCTCTCACCGTTTGATAGATCCATCAGTTAGAGCACTGGTGACCCACTGGATATCTAGTGTTTTGAAGGGCAACAGCACCAGGTGTGTGTTGTTGTCCAGATGGGTGGCACTTTCTGGGTACATGATATGATGGGTCGTCCTGGATCCCACGTCTTTCTCATAGCCTTGAACTGGTGCCTTATTCATCCTGTGGAAATCAGAATTGTAAAATTATAGTCTCTATCATAATTAGCTTCTTGACTATAAAGAGTCATGAAAATAAAAGTTTACCTGAACACAAAATCGTGGTTGTCTATAACAGGACCATAGTATGATCCTAAAAGGTTCCCAGAGTTCCCCACCACAGCACAGGTTCGACAGCGGGACGGGCCGGCATCTCTGTACCGTTCCTCTCCAGGAATGACAGAAAACAGCTCCTTAATCACTTGGGAGTAATTAGTTTTGCTCCTTGAAGATTGTAGAGACTGTGAATAGATTAAAAAAGAATCAGTGACTCAGGAAAGTACACTTCTACCATCAGCATGAAACCAGAATAAAAAAACAATCAACATGAACATTTTATGTAAACTAACACTAATGACATAACAGTAGCTAATTAGTTAAAAGATGCATATTTACTACCATTCAAAAATTTGTGGGGAAAATTTTTTTTTTTTTTTTTTTTTTGTCCAGAAAGAAATTAACTGTAGTGTACACATACACACATACATATCTACATTTCATGTTTGAAATAAATACACATATCATTCTTCCTTGTTCTCCTTTTACAGTCAAGAATTTAAAGAACTGACTTCTATTCAGTGTGAATATGAGGAACTGGCCACACCAAACTATTTGGATTAAAATGTACTGAAATTAAATTCAAAAGTGTCACGCAAGAATTCCCTTGACACAACACAATGGACACAATGGACCTTGTAAATACAATGGAACAGAACTTGTTTTTTGTGTTGTGTGGCTCCATTTTGAAGATGCCAGGGTGCTTCCACAATGAATCAGCACACTAGAATGATTTCTGATGAATTGTTTGACACTGAAGACTGAAGTAATGGCTCCATGAAAAAAAAGGATGTCTTAGACATAATTTGAAAGCATTCTCTATTAAATTCTGAATTGCACACAGTCCAGCTTACTGTACATTGAAGTGGGCTGAAGTATCAAATGAGAAACACACACTAAGCCAATACCTGCCACCACTTAAAGACGTGGTCAGGGAGGACGCTGTTATTGAGAGAGAGCACTGGTGGGACATCTTTTCTGAAATGTTCAGCAAACAACTCGTCATCACTCGCAGCCAAACAGCGCTCCATACAGGCACATGGTTCTTCATGAAGGAGCCGCTCCACCACGCTATTGTTCACCAAATCTTTCAAATGTCCATAAGGAACTTTATGTATGGTCACAGTAAAGATGGTGGCACTTAACAAAACCAAGATGACCTTTACATATTTACACCAGCGCATTTTGAATGCTGTGGGGCTTCTACAGTTCTACTCTCTGATGTTTAGAGTGAGGTCGAGGGGATTCCAGGTGATTCCTCTAGCACCTTTCTGCACCTTATCCTGAGATCAGCTGCAAGTACCTGAGCAATAAATGACAATAAAGACATTTATTTATAGAAATAAAGGGTTAGAGGAAGAGTAATAGACTGACTTTTCATGCATGTTCTACATCAGCAGCACCATGCGCATGCGTTGTTTACGTGCAGGAAAATCACGGATGAATGGAGGTGGGTTTGTAACTTACACGAGGGTGAGTAATTAATGACAGAATTTTCATTTTTGGGTGAACAATCCCTTAAAGTCTAGAAGGGATACAGCTGCGGCTACTGGGCATGTGCACATCAATAGGCTATAGCATAATTTTTGTCACATTGTACAACAATAATTACTGTTTTTGCAATATTGTAAGGGGTAGGTTTAGGGTTGGGATTGATGTAGACGTTAATAAAACACAATATAAAAGGTATAAAAATTAATTTATTGTTCGTTTCCGGTCGTAGCTGTATCTGTTTAGCCGGTTTAAGCTAATTTGAAGACTTGCCAAAATTAAAATAGCCTACTTAAAAGTAGCTAATTTTAAAGCATTTCAGATTTGCCACGTGTTTTAAACTAGAGGGGTTTTTTTATGTTCAACAGATGATATACTACTGCCAAAAAGCTTTACATTGTATCACTATACTCTATTTCTAAAATAAATCATAATGAACAAACATCATGTAGTGTTTTCAGGGAGTTGATTTGTTTAAATTACATTTCAATTGACATGAATTTGTTATTTATGATTTACTGATGTTACAATAGAAAATGAGAAGGAACACAAAAACGACAAGAGTTCAACAAACTCATTGGCCCTGATATTAAAGGATTAGTTGACTTTCAAATTAAACTTTCCTGATAATTTACTCATCTTGGATGACATGGGGATGAGTGTTTTATCAGGAAATTTGAATTTGAAAGTCAACTAATCCTTTAAGTAACACAGCCTACCATTATAACGTGACTGTGTCATAACTGCTCTTTAGAAAGCAGAACCGATTTTGAATTTTGAAGAACTAAATGCTTTGTGAACCTAATGTTCTAATGAATAATGATAATTTGAAAGAAATAAAGGTAAATATATTTGACAAACAAACGATGAATTTATACTTTTTTTCAGTCGAGGCTGAACTAAGGTTTCATGATCACTGAGTTATCAGATAATTCATCCAATTACAAGCCCGAACATCGTAAGCAACAGACATAAAAGAGGGACTAAATATCTCTAATAACTACACCTGAGAAATAAACAGTAAACGGTGACAAAAAGAAAACATTTACTCAGATTAGTATTCAGCTTTGAATCCAGCGATGTGTGCTTGTCTGTGGATCTCGATCGTGAATGTCAGGAGGGTGTCACCTGGTTAGAGCAGATTAATCTTATACAAACAACTCGCTTCTCATTAAAATGATTGATATCCACGGTGTGGACAAACTGAGTATTTTGATTCTCATCATCATTGTTTTAAAATAATTGACAAATATAAATGCAATAGGCTCAAAGACTGCAATTCAGTGTAGCCTATGCCTGTTTTAAGCGATTAAACATTTCTTACCCTTTTGGACTGTTTATTCTTACAGTGCCGCATACGAATAAATACAATAATAAAGTGTTCTCCTATTTTATTTTATCTGATGTAGTAAGACAACTTTTCGGTTTAACCAAAACCGTTAACATATTCATAAAAACCAGATGCTTTAAACCATTTCTAAGTCAATATACTGATATGAAGAACCTAATGTAACTTTTTTTCATCTCGAAAGAATAACACAGTATCTGAAGACCCTTACAGAACCAAAAAAAAAAAAAAA